GCTGTTTGAAAAGTTTCTTTCGAATTAAAAAGGCCGGGCTAATCTGCACCCTGCTCTTAAGACCGGGTTTATTTCCAACCACGAAATGGAGATGTTTCTGGAGGATTTGCAAAAGACTTGATCAAAAAGAATCGGGCTCGTGTGCGGGGTGTTGCAGCATTCTGGGAACAGGATGAAATAGCAGGATATACGCAGTATGCACTCCTATGAGGTACATACATATCCCATGTCCAACCATCTGGTGAATAAAATTCAGGAGATCTTTTGTATCAAAGTGTGTCTGTGGTAGGTTTCAGTTCTTGATCCTCATTTTTCCGTTTTGCATTAACTAACTATTTATCTGAATATTTTGTCATCACAACTGCCACAGGACTAAATGCTCTTTAGCTATAACTACTCCGTACTCGTAGTGATAGACATGCACTGAATCGCCCTGCAGGACTCGAGCCTGGATTTTTGGGGGTTTGATCGATCCTATTCCTGCAGCTGCATTGGTGAAATGATCATCGCCTCCTTAGTTGAGAGTTTTAACGCCACAGTTTTAAGAAGGCCAGACTGATTTTGTGATGTATATAATACAAATGCCGATAATTCTGCTTCCCAGGCGCTGTGATCATTGAAAATGCTTCATTGCCCATTCGGTTTGCTTTGTTATTTTATTGACACATGTAGAGAAACGATTCGCAACCTTTTCTCGAAGGCGGGGAGAAATATGATAAACTCTTTTTTCAGACGCAAGCAAGCCACAAATACGCCCAGAATATTTCGGCTTGTTGGGCGGATTTAAGTTTCGGGACCATCGGGCCTTCATTGTTTTTTGTCAACGATTTTGGTTTTGGAATTTTTCCATTTCCCTCGAGATGGCCTGTAGACAACATCGTCCAAATTACACTGGATTGCAAAGTATTATTACTCACTGGGGCATCGTTGGTAGCCAAGTGTGTCTTCCTGATCAATTGCGCGTGGGAGGCTGTTCGTCGGCTGGACCTTGGTGAGAGAGAATGCAACATACGGCGTATGCCATGCAGGAGGGACAGCTTGAGCTTATCATGCCAGGAGCTAAAATGCATCACGCAGTGCACCTGGAGTTCAAGGATCCTATTGACCAGGACTCTGGTGATAGCGGGCCAGCGAGTGGGCCGTGATGGGCGGCGTCAGCCAGTAACACCGTAAGTCGGGTTGTTGCCAAAGCGCCATGCGTCTCGGGCTGGGCGGAGACTCTGGAGGATGACCAAGCCGCTTGGCATCGTCAACTCAACAACGGCTTGGCACAGCTAAATCCTCGTCCCCGAAAGCTTCAACCATGCATAGTAAGTCTGGGACAAGGGAGATGTCCTCGTTTGGGGTAGGCGTATTCCGAAGCGTGAAAGGTTCTTTGGGAAATTTCATCTACTACACAGAAACGAGATGTGTGGAGTGGGGTGGAAGAGCTCACAGAGTGCACTTTCAGAGGACAGAGGGAAAAATTCAGCTTCCAGCGTTTTTGCAGCCTTAAACTTGTGACGATAGTACGCATGAAGCTTGATAACCCGATACCATCAACTGCGTGTGCACTAAATTGATACACTCTTCCTCCCTGCGACGTTGGAAGAGCATGGATCATTCTTGGACTCTTAACACCCATGGCAACCTGCAGGGCATCTCTCGTAGCGAAGTCATCATGACTACGAGGGTGTCCTAGTCCTGGCCGGCCAAAGCTTTAAAAGTTAGTTGGCATCGTCAAGTCACTGGGGCGAGGGAGAACGTGCTGGAGCCAAGGGGAGTATGGGACAATTGAGGAGTGCTCGCTGGCTTAGCTAGCGCAGAGATATTCTTGGGACGGGATTCGGGAGAGCAAGCCACCTTGCCGCAATCACCATCGAGTCTCGTTCAGGGGGATCCTGGAGCAGAATCAGACCAGGATCAAAGCCAAGCTGCCGCCGTTCTCCCCAAACGCGCTACCAGCAACGTTGGAATAGATTAAATATGTAACCTATTTCTCCGGTTCAGTCTGAGCTCCGGCTGCCGTGATTTTTGGCCTGCTCCACAACTCCTTTGCGCAGGCTTCTCCCTCGCATCGCCAGACACTCTTTGCTTCCTCCTCCTTTCTTCCTTTCTCCCCAATTCTGGTGAATTCGGATATTTTTTGCCTTCCTTTCTTCTCTGTCAATGATTGTGCTGTGGAGGGCTTTTCTTTCTTATGCATATACTCCGTAACGACCACCTCCTTTTTCCGTTGCTGTTTTGGTGCCGATCCCCGTTTTCCTGGGAGAAAACCTGATTCATTGATCCGCCACCTTGAAGGAAATAGCCAGGTTTGCTGTCTGGCAACCTGCTACCTTCAAAGATTTTTGTGAGCTGTTGCGGGCATTCATCGTGTTGACATAGAGTGTTGCTGGCCCTCCCGACGTTTACCCTTTTGGGACATCTTCTACCTGTTCGTCAACAACAAGGCCTGGATACTGCCATAACTTGTCTGCGTCCGGCCATTGACTGGACGGATAAAAAATCAATATATCGGCACCTGGGAGATCTAGGCATTTTGAACAACGATTCGGGCCGCAATATCCTTTGCCACCCCGAAATCGACTCACTCCAAGTCCTAGCCGTTTGCCGTTACGTCCCTCACGTCGCTAAACTGTTCTATCACACGTCGTTTTTTTTCATATCCTCCAATTATCATCGCGAAAGGATATCTGTTCAAGTAAACAAGTAATTATTTTTGTCGAAAAATCAATACAATCTACAGAACTAACATAATGCCAGCAGGCTGCTATCCGTTGAATACGAACGTATCCCCTTCGCGCAAACTACCAACCAGCATTATTTGTTCGGTATACGGACGATGTGTGAATGGTTCCATGCACAAATAGTATAGAGCTCTTGTCACCAAGGTATCTAAGATCTGAAAGCATTAAAATTTCGGTGCATCATCGATGGATATTCTTGATGACCATGTTGCCCCCCTTAACGTTCTGAAAGGCAAGGTTCACGCACCAAGTCAGAACGAACCTCTTCCTCACGGCATTATTTCGAGCAATATGTTTTCTACAATGCCATCGCAAATGCGTGTGACGCCCCCTCTGACACCACATAGCTCTCTGGAGGATATTGTTGAGAGGAGTAGTCATGAAATGTCTATTTTCCACAATTACCTTCGGGCTTTTTATCCCTTTAAACCAAATGCAGGGGTTTCTTCCTCCACTGTTACTCTGCCTTTGGACCAAGGGGATATAATTCTAGTGCACTCAATTCACACTAATGGCTGGGCTGATGGTACTTTGCTGGAAACTGGTGCTCGTGGCTGGCTGCCGACAAACTATTGCGAGGCATATGACCAAATACCTATGCGACCATTACTTAAATCGTTGACAGATTTTTGGGATACTATCCGTGGGGGTTCAGCTTCCACTCTTCATCAATTTACCAACCAGGATTATATGAGGGGACTCATAGCGGGTGTGCGATTTCTGCTGGTTAGTAACCTTACTTTTGATCATCTCAGCTCCAACTAACCAAATCGGCCAGGAAAAATCTGAATGCTTGACACGGGATTGCCATTTAGTCCAGAAGTTTGATGCTTTGCGGAGAAACAGAAAAGTACTCCTTTCAGATCTTTCCTCCTTGGTGAAACTAGCCAAGAGGTTGCAGGATGTTGCTACTGGTGGGCAATTCGATGGATCGCTAGACGCGATCTTCGACCAGATGCTGTTCAAAGCTTTCAAAATAATTACACGTGGTGTACGCTTCTTAGACGTATGGAATGAAGAGATTGGCCTGAGCAGTGTCATTACCGAGTTGGATGTTCCATGTATAAACCCTGGTCACGATATATACGATGGTCCTTTAACTCCACCTGTGGACGCGTCGTTCTCTCCTGGGCCAATCCTGGAATCCACTGCTTCTTCTGCTCTATCCTTTAATATAGTCGAGACCACCACTCCTCTAGATCAGGGAGACTGCTCGAACGATACTCATGGAGAACTGTACAACACCCATAATCCTCCCAGGCCGCAATCCGTTCAACCTAAGAGAATATCTATTTCTCATCGTATATCTTACAACGGATCATCTTCAGCATATAATCCTAAGCTTGCCTCCACACTCCTTACCTCAGCCTACGATGAATTTCTTGGCGTACTTGGTTCCTTTATTGGTCTCCATCTTCAATCTCGTTCGT